AAAAGTGTGCATGTATGCAAGACGACATTAGGGCGAATGCGAGGGAGCGAGGGGCAGTGTGAATCCAGCGATTGATTGAGCGACATCCCTAGCGTAGCGATATAAACTATTAATAAATATATTATAGTAAAAGTCCGTTCGAGTTTACTATCCCTCCACACAAAAATCCCCTACAATACCTTTTTTGCTTCTGTAAAACACAAACAGCGCACGGTCAGGCGTGGCGCGCGCGATTGGCTAAGTGTTAAAAAAAGAAAAAAGAAAAACTACTAAATTTAAGCAAATTCGGAAGGACGCAACGGATAACACGTTTCAAACCAGGACTCTGTTCAGCATCCAACTGGAGATCCTGAAGATTCTTGCCCAGCACGACGGTTCTCCTTACTCGAGGATCTTTAAATTCAATTTTCTCGAAAGCTAAGCTTCTCGTGAAAAAAATTGTACTCTTTACATTCGGTTTATCTCTACACGCAGAATCACCACAGACTGTACCACTCGTCCTGCTTCATCCTGTACACGCTCAAGTTAGGAACTTAAATTTATTCCATACGACGCAAAACTACGTAGTTCGGTATAAAGTTTCATGTTTAAGGAAACATCCTTTTCCATTCACCCGTTCACTGCCGCTCTATTCAAATAGACACGACGAATTAATTAACATTCATCCCTCGGTAACGCTCGGAAGTGACGTATTCTTTTTCTAAGGAACTAGCGGCAGAAGGTTTCTAAGGGCGCGAAATTGATGTCACGTCGTGCGCCACAAGGAACAAAATGCCTGAATAATTTACCGCATGGCAGGTTTTACACGCGGGAAAACTTAAAAAGGTATTCAGTTTCGCGAGAAGTCCTCGTGGCGGGGCAACGAGTGCATATGGTACGCGGGAAATTGCAAATCTTAGCAGTGAAAGGGTTAAAAGCGTACTTAACCCGGAGGACATAAAGTCGCAAAAGGTATTGCTGCCGCCATTGACGTATGAAACTGTAACCTGGTTCGCGTGGAAAAGTATCGCCCGCCCCCCGAAATGGAAGCCTAAACGTGTTTACAATGCATCAGTTTTACGATCGGAGTAGCACCACCCAGCCCGCGGACCATTTCCCTTAATGAACGTTGCGCGCTTTTATCATATACGCCATTTGTCAGATCACATTTTTGCTCAACGGCTTCGCCTCTCGGAAACCACCAACCCAGGCAATTTGTTTTCATTTCTACTAACGATTCCGCCGCCCGCCACCATTCTCTCGGCCCACTTTCCATGTAGCCCGACGTACGAATCCTTCGAAAGAGAGCAATCCTTTTTGAACGATCGATCTTGCCCGCCGTCGCTCCTTCCTGCGCGACTCATTTCGCCAGGAGAACATTTCGTAAAGGATTTACGGCGCACATCGGTGTAAATATCGTTCAGCTCGAGGGATGGATGAAGAAAAATAGTGTTCAGTCAATTATGGAAGAAAGAGGGGTGCGGAATATTAAAAGATTAGACGCGGGGAGTAATTGATGTTGCAACCCTAATTTGCTGGAACGAATTGTCAAGTTATGTTGTTCAAGTAATAACGAAGATTGGAAAAATTCGTAATTACATTTTTCAGATTCGGTTCAATAGTTTCGCCATTGTAGTGTCCATTGCTTGATAGAGAGTTTGATGACATACTGACACTATTAGGTTGATGCATATGAAACGTCGTTTTCTAACGATTGACTAGTTTCACTTGTATTCTGAATTTATTGAAATTATTTGTCTTTGAATGCTGATTTTACAGTGTCTTCATTTCGGAATAATTTATTTGTTAGGGAAATTGTTAAAGTAATGACAATATATTGTTCAATTTATATTTTCTTCCAAGTTTAACAGCAAATTCCTTCTTCTTGACTGTTGTACGTAAAAATTTATACAGGGCGGGCCACGTGAGACAGGCTACTTTATTCTCTTCTCTAGCAGCATGTGATTTAAATTGTTTCGAAGGGTGAATGAGATGGAAGAAATGGCAAAAATGAAAGGAAGTTTCACATTTGATTTAAATTTTAATGTCTACCGAACATGCATATACATTCTTCCAAAAACACATAACTAACCTTGAAAAAAAAAAAAAATACAAAAAATGGCATTTTTAAAAAATTAAGAAAGAAAAGTACATATAAAAATTGTCTCGCACCACCATTAGCTAGAGAAGCTAATTAGGTGGCCTGTTTTACACGATCCACCCTGAACAGTATCGATTCGCCAAATCCAGCTTCAAAAGAACGACGTTTCATTTATACCAACCGAATACATGCCTAATTACACTCGTTACGTTATCAACGTATCATCTGACTTCTGTCAAAGCCGCTGAAATATCCAAACTCCGTTCTACATCTAAGATTACCGAATATAAAATACAATTACACTGTAGAAGCAAAGGTAAGTTCTAAATGGTAATTAATCCCTTTTACACTTGCTACTGCCGAGTTCAAGTAAAATAGCTTGGCAAGCGCTTCGTATTGTTCTGCGAGCAAAACTGTTTCTGTTGATTCGTCAAAGGGATAGGAATAACAGAGAACTCGCGCAAGAATCATAGAAAGCCCGAGTGGGAAATAGCGAATTCAATTTTCCTAGGATTCCGAAATTTCGTTCCTCCAGCTAGAAGGAGTGCTTCTAATAATTCCACGTAGCGAGTGGCAGCAGTTTGGTGTCAGACGGAAAATAGACGAGAGAATGTGTAATATTATTGCTCCGGAGCAAACCAGAACGGCATGCTAGGCGACGAAGCGACGTATCATTATTCCAGCTAGCATACGATGCATCTGACGCAATGCAGTCGTATGCACTATACAAATACACGTGCGGCACATTGTTTTCAGATTTTCTCATTCCGAGCCATTTTCAACATTACCCACCCTTATCCATTTCTACACTTCACCGCTCGTTGATTTTTCTCGCCCTGACACCGACATTCTCATCGTTACCCTCGTCACACGTTGCTTCTATCGCTGATAAAACGTTGGTGTATGTGTATTTTTTCCAGCTGTATTAATTGATTTGTTTAAATTCCCATCGAACGTGTACCGAAGTTATTTCTTTCTCCCTTTGAACGTAAATTCGAATTTTCTATTGTTTTCACGAGAGTTCTTTTTCCCCCAGAATCAGCATTGAACATCGTAATTTTCTGACGATTTACAGCGACGATTTTTGTTTTTTTCATTTTCGATTGATTGACTGCATCCTTCAGCGAAGGAATAACTTTTATCGGAATGAAAGGGGAATACTTGAAGCACGTGAAATATTGCAATGTAACACATCTCGAATTACAGGTTTGATATTCAGTCGAATTATTTCTAGCATCGACTACTGGTTGTTCTTTATGAAACGAACTTCCTGCGTGCTGAATTACTACTGGATATTGTTATTCCGTCTATTCACTTATTCTCTGCTCTTTGTATGTAAACATCGACTACTGCGATCTCAAGTGTTACTGTGAAATAGATGTTTATTCATTTCCATCGAAGTAAACAATTTTAGGGGATATACAAAGGGCGCGAGCAGTTTAACCGGAGAAATAAAAAATGCGATATTTCCTAAACGCGTTTAAATTACCACAACGACGAGGCGAATGGTACAGGTAATTGTACACCTGATGTAGGAAATAAAGTAACAAAAATATAAAATTCTGTAGGGTCTTACCGTTCCATAATAAAAATTAAGCATTTTGGCTTAAGATTCAATTTTATTTAATAATATCGAGACAGTATATTTTTCATTAACTCTTTCATTCAAGCCTTCAATTAAAAGGCAACTGGCACTGTCTGAGGGGTGATTCACATTGCACCCTATGGGTTACAATTGCGTAAAATTAAGTAAATATTTATTTCAATAGCGTTCTTTTATCACGTGAGTGTGTGTTGCGCTGTTTATTACATGTCCCGAGAACTTCTATATTTTTTCTTTGATTTCTCCTTTACGTATTTACTTAATGTAAGCGTAGCGAGTTTGAGAGTGCAGCTTATATTAGTTAACTATTTTCGTTTGGCTTTTGTGGAAGCTCCTAGAAGCTCCACCTTCATGGCTGTCCTAGCAGAGAAGAGGAAAGCTTGAGATTTCCCAAGCAACGCGAGTGTGTCACCGTGTGCTTAATTTTTTACCTTCGAAAGGTTTGGTAGCGGGCTACGATTTATGACAAACCCTTCACGCGTTAAAAACTAATTTCGACAATTACGATCTTGCAGCAATGGTGAAGTGTCGAAGACGAAATTCTCGACAATTGCAAGCTTATTTTTACTAACAACAAACCATAAACTGTGCTCCGCTACAATATCGTATAAAGGAACCGTAAGGTTCTTCGAAAAAAAAAAACTGAATACTTCACGATTTTTCGGAACATAAATATCTGAGTTAGGTGAAACAGTTGCCGTGTAGTGTAATATAGCTAAGGGTAATTTGAATTGTTATAGCGTTACGAACGCAAACTATCATTCGCCAGTGTTCCGCAAATCTCGCTCATTTTCGGTCGCATAATCACTCAATGAGCAATTCTATGGACAAGCGGGGCCAAGTTCAGTGATAGGCCTGTAAGACGAACAGACAGGACGATACTGTGCGCATTCCCCGCGTTGTCTGTTCCATGTTACATTCAATCTAGTACGCTCCGAATTGCTATTCGCAAACAACGCGTGGTTTCTGCATACATGCATCGAATGTGCGGTTAATTACGATCGTGTGCCCGTATGCGCTCGTACGTGTACACGTGTATGTGTACCAACGAACCGAATGAAGTCAAGCTAGAGCTTCGTGCATGTCGCCCGGTTATCGAGACTATTAATTGGATTTGAGTAATTTGATTACATAAGAAAGACGCCTGAATACCCACAAATTCATCCTAGGAAGCTTCTTTCTTTGCCCCATCTATCACCTAGGCATCGCAAGGCAATCAAGTGCAAGGAGAAACAATTTTCTTCTCTGTTCTGGTACAACTGTTGAAATTTAATTTCCTTCCCTCGATATACCGGCGATTATATGTATATGTACGTATTATATAGTCGATTCGTTGTTTTTCTAAAAGTCGAATGGAAACGAGAAACGAAGAACGGAATGTCGTGTTTGCTGTTTTACTTACCTTCGTCGATTTGCGTTTGACATTCTCGACGCATGGAAATCCACCGCACTGAAACAGTAGAAACGAGAGAATATTAGTATCTCGATCGATTCGAAGGGCGGAGTAAGGGAATTATGTGTATAAGATATTTTGTAGTTGCAAAAATATTTAAACAAGAAGTATGATATCCTTAAAATCGTAAGCTTGCAATCTTGTCAATTTGAAACAGCTGCTTGACAATTTAGCATGTGTACGTACAAGAAAATTGGGAAATTACAAAGTTAGGAAAGTTAGGCTAGGAGGTTCTATCACATTCGTGTTACAGTCCAGCTTCCTTTTCATTTGTCTCCTTTTTGTAGGACCAAGTTTGACTTATAGTTTGTAACATATTATAAAATATGGTACAAATTACTACTTATATGAATTATATTAAAATATAAGTGTAACTTATATTTTATTTCACACTTTGTACATAAGATATCCTTTGTGCATTTATCTGCAGATACTGATTGCAAAGAAACTAAGCGTCCAACGTAATATTTGAAGAATTTTACAGGATGTTCGAGTTTCAATATCAACGATATTTTCAAATTGTGTATTTTACTCTCTATCGAAGATCTTGCATTTGCCTGAATTCTATAGATACCCAAATTTCAGATAATTAATTGTTAACTGAGTATTTGGCTATACTAAATGTCACCGATAGTTGACTATCATTGACGAGCATTTCTCAACGGTAACACGCTTTCGGTTTACCTCAAGTATCAATCTTTACGTTTCTAAAATCATATGAAAATAAATTACACTATTTTCATAAAATAATTCCATTTACTGTAATAAACTTTATCACAAAGTTTATGCAACAGAAAACGCAATCGTGTGTCGATCATTTGAAATATTCCGACCAGTGTGACAATTTTCCTTCCGAAGGACCTTCAAAATGGACCTTCTTACCATTTTTCTGCAGTGCGTTACAACTGTTATCCCTCAATGATATACAGCCCCGTGAAAACAGATTATCCAATGATCTTTCATGCTTCGCATCGTGAATTAGAAAAAGGTATATCTTCAAAGAGCTTACAATGCGATTTTGGCGAATCTTCCCCGAACATTTTCGTTCTTTCATGTTATCGCCGTATGTACTATACGCGTTTACTATGTCACATATGTCCTACACATGCAACGAGATACCTACACAAGGCGGTAACAAATTTTGGAAGACTGCATTGCAAGCTGCACAAAAGTTTCCAGAGAAAAGTTCGCAAATTAAACCCTTTCTTGACTATTGGCGCGTGTAGGCGTTTCGAAGATTTGCTCACACTATACTTTTGGTGCACTTCCGCCTTAATTTAATCCTAAATTTCATTCTTTGCCCAGTTTCACCTTAACTTAATCCTAAATTTCATTCTTTGCCCACTTTCACCTTAATTTAACGAACCAAATTTCAAAACGATACGGCCAAAACAACAAATTTCGCAGCCGTGGTCTGCCGTACACGTAACGTATTAAAATTTGCCGCAGCGAAAGGATTAAGAATTTTTCGATGAATTTTTTGTCATTCAATACCACCGAAATAATGTAAATTGCGTTAAAAATCTACGAAGAATTAGTAGCACATTGAATATTGATGTAAATTGTAAGGTGATCCCAAACTTTTGGCCGGTACTGTACAGTCTTAGCCGAAAGTATTAGGAACCTTTATTATTACAGCTTACTGCGAAAACTACCTCTTTAAAACCTTTCTATTGTTCATCATCCTTTGTCGGCCAGTTCAAAGGAATTTTAAAAGAGTTGACAAGGTTTACAGCGAGCTATAAAACCACTGAACGAACCATAGTCCGTATTTTGTGTTCCTTCCTAAAAGTCACAGTCTGCTGTTAGTACTCGCTGCTAATACACGTCAGCTTGTCTTCAGTTCTGCTGTTAATGTTTTGAAAGTTAGAAAGTTCTCCTTGAGAGAGTGACCATCAACGCAAGCTACTTTTTTTTTAATTTAAAGACATAGTAAAAGTCACAAAGAAATTTCTGTGATAGTCAAATGTTGGGCAAAGGATGGTCCAAGAAAATATCGACAAAATTAATAAGAAATGATTGTTTTTATATTTTAACAGTTTCATTTTCTCTTAATGCAGAAATATTTTTAAATAATTCATATTTTGCGGAGTGCCTGATACTTTTGGCTAAGGCTGTATGTCTCATAATTTCATTAAACAACCATTAATCCCTCCACTAAATCTAAATTTAATCTTATAAATGATTCCCCAAGTAATGCATTATTGTTCTAGCAATTCTATCTTCGATACGGTTGTATTTCATTAATGTAGAAACGCTGCGATATCGTTATCGATGTTATTATTAGTTTTATATTGCTCACCGTATAATAACATTTTTCTATTATTCATTTTCCAATGCATAGAAATTGATCCTATTATTCTCCTGGTTTCTCAGAATCAAACTTGCTATTTTAGAATATCCTTACATGTATTAATCAACAATTCTTCGCCAACGAAGAAGTGAAAATCGATGAAACTTTGGTATATGGTAGTACTAAGAAGAATATTCGACACGTATTTTTTCCATCGGCAGTCATCCACACTGAAGGGGTGAAAATCGCATTCAAAGATGAGGATAATGAACATATTTGGTCAAAATTATTTATTACTTTTTATGTTTCAAATAAAAAATTCGTCAATTTACACTATTCCTCTGCGTCCGATAATTTTAGAGATATTAGGCTAAATATATTTACTATCTCCAACTTTCAGGGCGATTTTCACCCCTTCGCTGTGAACGAATATGCGCCGAATATTTTTTAGAGAATATTCGTCACTTCGAAATGTTTCCTTCTAAAGTAAAAAATTTACTTTCCGTAATACTTGCGAAATAGCACTTCTGCATGCTCTAGTATCGAAATTCAGCGATTCGATGTAACCGTATTCTATTTGACTCGATCCGGAAAATTGAAAAGCTCTAATTAACATTTTGTTGTACCAATGCAAACGGTACCAAACCGTACAAGAAACGTTACTAATCACTTCTCGCGACACATCTAAAATAGCACCTTTGCATGCTCTAGTATCGAAATTCAGTGATTCGATGTAACCGTATTCTACTGACCCCTTGAAAATTTACTCACACTGTCCAGTTCGCGCCTTTCGCTACCCTTCCAGCTCAATTCAATCCTTAATTTTATCTCGTAAATATTTCCACCTCAATTTAACGAAACAAATTTTTAAACGATCCAGCCAGAATAAAAGATTTTGCGTCTACGGTTGAACACCTACCGTCTGTCACGTGTACACTAAAATCTGTCGTAGCTAAAGTGTTAACTCCTTTCCGAAAATTTAACATCTCTAATTCACCTTTTCTTGTATCAATGCGAATGCTATAAAAACCGTGGAAGAATCGTTAACCCAGACTGTCTAGTATCCCATCGACGTTGCAGTCCTTATTATTCGATAAATTATTCAGCCTCCCGTGGCGAATACGTTGTTACCTTGTGTCGATCGAAGCACATATTCCGCGGCTCCTTTTTACAATACGCCCATTACAAAAGTACTTGGATTATACATATAGCGTATCAGAAGCCGGGATATAAAAGGCGCAGCCACGTTACAAAGACGACACGTTACAATGGCCGCTGTAAATCGGCCCAGTGGCAAGCTTATCGTACGTTGTACAACGGTGTTCTTCTACACGGTACACGGTAAAATCATATTCAGATTCAGCGGGAAAGTAGCGGTTCAACGGGGCGAGAAAAGTGCTGCACCAACGATGACGTAACGACGGAAAGGGTAAAAGTAACAGGCTTCGGTGAAAATATAATCCGCGCAGGAGCAATTTCGTGGTTCCTTCCTCCCCCTAGCGAAAGGATTACGTAAAAGTAACAAGCCTCGTGTCGCTGGCTTATCAGAAACTTTCATTTTCGTACGGCCGATTTCAGTCGTAAAAATGTCCGATTCCAATTTTCCCCCCGGAGATGAATTTTCGAAATCCGCTTACACACATCCGTTGCCGCTGATATCTTTTGTTTCGGGAATATCAACTGTCACGGAGAGCCATGAAACCTGGTAAACGATGGAAACTTGGCCGAGTTCCGTGTGTCAAACGGTGGATTAAGGCCTGCACGCCGGACAAATTTTGTTTCCGCGTGGAAATGTCGGTTCGACCAAGTTCAACGCCCTAATCGAGAAAAATGAATATTAATGCGACTAGTTAATTACGTTTGAACTTTTCCAATTTGGTCCCAGGCGAAATATTGCCGTGCTACCAAAAGCTCGCCGCCATAATTTCCGCTCGTACGTGACGATTTTAATCAGCTCATTATTACGTGGAAAAATAATTA